GAGCTTGTAGCTACGACTAAAGGTTAGGTTTCCTAACACTTTATAAGACCCTGCTTTTAGTGCTATAATTATGCCAAACTTAATCTTTTGGGGAGGGGAGGGAATAGGTAGAAGCAAAGGGGATTGGCAGGGACTGGAGCCAGAGTGGGGGCCTACTCAGGGGTGGGAGACGTGGAGACAGGGACAGGAGCTGGGTGGGTAGACAGGGGCAGGAGCCAGGAGGGTTTATAACTTCCAGAGCACACTTCCCTTCCAGAACCTGGAATCGAACCCAGGATTCCCGAGTCTGTTATCAGCAAAGAGCTGGGAAACTCGCTGCAAAGCGTGCGTCTCCCCGCCACTGCCCTCCACTAGTGGGGCTGGCTCACATAAAGAGTAACAGCTACTACTGCCATCAGTAACTCTGTTAGCTTTCTTTTTCCTGTTTGCTTTTTTAAAAAATTCTGGTTTTTTTTAAGCTGTAATATCCTATGTTAAAAGAATGTTGAGGTTGCAATGTCAAGAGCTCAAAAGTTAGGAAATGTCAGAATTAAGGTTACCCATGCAAACTTAATTCGGCCTCCTGATGTGTATGAATTATAATATGATCTATAATTACATGATCTCATACTGCTTTTTCCACGGGACCCCTTTTTCATTCAGTGCACAGAATGAATGGTGTTCAGAGAATAAATCAGGGTTGTATAGTGAATGAGGCTGTTGTCTGTAGGATCTTTCCAACTTTGGCAACAAATGGAGGGATCCTACAGACAACGTGCTTCCTCACTACACAGCTCTGATTCATCCCTAGAACCGGTCCCTCCTGTGCACTGAATGAATCAGATATCCTGTGGAAAAAATAGTATGTGATTGTGTAATTTCTGACTGTATCATAAGGCATATGCCCAAGAGGGCTGAATTAAAGCTACATGGGCAACCTTTGTCATTTCTTAACTTTTATGGGCTTAACTTTGCAACCTTGGCATTTTTAACATAGTTTTTTGTATGTAATAGTACAGTCTATATTCATCAGGTCAGTTAGGGACCCAACTGATTAGGGATGCATGCACTCTGGTTCCACCTCCAGAAGTGGCCCGGGGATCAGACTAGGCTCTACATATTTGGAAAAACAAAGAAACATGCCAACAAACAAAGAAACAGTCAGTGGTCTGACCAGCCGCCACCTGAAGGGCACCAGCTTTGTTTTACAGTTATCCTCTGAGTGGGAGCAGATGGTGGCCCAATGAGAGCAGCTTCTTGTGATTGTGGGACAGCTTTATATCTCTGGCATTGGAGTAAAACTGTGACTTCTCATAAGGGACACAGGTTCTTCTCTACATCCAGAGAGTGGTATCTGCCTCATTTGCTTGTGGGGATGGAGTTAATCCACACAAACACCTCCTACAACTGTTTTGCCAGTAGTTGGTTTCCACTTCTGGCCCAGCTGCTGGCCCTGTTATTTTTTTCTTCTCTTGCTTCTGCTTCATCTATAGGGTCATGGCAGCTGCCGCAAGAGAAGCCAGTGAGGTGGAGGAGTGCCTTTAAACTAGAATTATAGGCAGCAGGAGTAAAGGAATTAATTTTTAAGCTGAGGCTATGATGTTGTATGGCATCAAAATGTTCCCCAAGATGCCACAGTTTTATTACAATCCAAAGCAAATAAAAGAAAACCTCTGAGTTAAAATAGACAACACCTGAGCATGCTAATGAAAATCTTACTCCTGATGATTGGGAACTCAAAAAATGTAGAGACTGGATACTTAGTTCAACCCTCCAGACCATATGGAGAACTTTACCAGGCAATGTATAGATCCTCCTGCTCTTGGGGGAAGGGAATGACAAAGGCCCTAAAATCCACTATGCTGCTACAAACTGTGTCTAGAGAATGTGAGATCCTGCCACTTCCTTAGAGAAAATAAGCCAAAATGTCTTCTGCTAACCATTGGGTAGGCACAGGCAATCAGCAAACAGCACCAGTATTATTGAATTAATGTGCCTGAACATAACCAACCACCACAGTTCAAAATTTAAAAACATTGGGAGACCTCTAGAACAGGCAAATTCAACAACAACAACAACAAATAATATTCTAGAAATCCTTGGCCAGCTCTAATCACTGTGAACCTGAATCAGATTGAGGCCAATGACCTAGAGGTCAACAGTGACCACCGATAGCATCCAGACTCATTCTTCTCTCCTTCTCTTACTCTTTTTTATTCAACATAAAATAAGAACATGTTTATACAAAAAAAGTTAAAATAATATTAAGATGATAACTTAAAGACTGTCCAAAATCCCATGCAGATTGCAACGCCTAGGACACTGGGGGTTCATTAGAGAGGAAGTTTCAGCTTTAATTCAGAATTCTCTGGCTTTTGTCATTTTTATGTTATTTTAACATTTTTATTGTGTGTGAATAATGGAGTACACATTGAGGTTCAATAGGTGCAATACTGTTAAATGTACGTCTTGGTAGATTTAAAAATGAGGGATTTATTTTGTCATTCATAAAGTTGTAATACAGTCTGGAGAAACTATTTGTTAAAAGATAGCATCTACTTAACCTGCTTATTTATTTCTTGTAGTAGAAGGTTAGATCCACAATAAATACACGAGGAAATAAGTAGATAGGGGAATTTATCTTAGAAATAAGATCCCTGTCACACTTTTG